CTGTGCTACAGCTGCAGCTGTGGATGTTATATATATATATATATATATATATAGTTCACGTTGTCTTCTTCCACTTGATGAAAGATAGGGCTACTATACGAGGATGGGTTTTCATTCGAAGTAATTACAACAGGCTAAACCTAACTCATTCTTAGTTATGTAAACCAAACTAAACCTAACCCATTCTTAGTTATGTAAACCAGGCTAAACATAACTCATTCTTAGCTATGTAAACCATAGGTCGTTGATAGTGGTCTTTCTTGCACAATAATCGAGTTAGAGTATTCAGAAATTGTATTGTATAAGTATACAATAAAAAAAACTAACATGATTTACTTTAGAGGCATATCATCACTTAGAGTTTAACTTTTCAATGAACAAGACCAAGATATGTAATTATCTAAACGTTGTAATGTTAATGAGTATAAATATCGATTAAAAGTTACTTTTACGGTTCATTAGGCGTAAGTTTGAGAAACGTAATTAAAACTTGTGCAGTTATTTTAAAAAATGAACCGTGCAATGTACTACTTCAATCAATATGAACACAACTTCTTATGAATTAAAAATAAGATATTCTTTTTCAGAAACGTTTCACTCGTATCTTTGTATTAAGAAAAAAAATGTATACATTTATTTCAGTAGAATGTATTAATTGCATTCGAATATTATAATGTAATTGTGCAGGTATATTTATTTCTAAATATCTCTAACCTAATTGATTTATTTGTGTAGAGTATTATTTAAGGGGAGAGTATTTTCTATAACAATTGTGTTAATTGTTTAAATACCTATTCTCGAGTACAACGAATGATAATATTAATGTACGTGTAGCTGTCCCTAACTTTGCACTGACAGGTCATAGGAATGACAGCTTGTCTACAACAACTACCGCCAACTCTTGGGTTACTCTTATCTGACCGAATAATGGGATTTGATAGTCACTCTTATAGCATACCAACAGCTTCAAAGTGCAAAACTCATATAGCATACCAACAGCTTCAAAGTGCAAAACGCATATAGCATACCAACAGCTTCAAAGTGCAAAACTCATATACCATACCAACAGCTTCAAAGTGCAAAACGCATATACCATACCAACAGCTTCAAAGTGCAAAACTCATATACCATACCAACAGCTTCAAAGTGCAAAACGCATATACCATACCAACAGCTTCAAAGTGCAAAAGTCATTTTTGTGGCAATAAGAAACGAATCATGATCCTTTGGAATCACGTCTAACCTGAGATTAAGAGGTAAGGTATTAAGAAAAGCACAGTTTTTGTTACGATTGTTCTTGTAAACGTTGCTCTTTTTTTTTTAAATTATAGTTATTTAACTTATGGTAAGCCGTTGGAAATAGATTATGTGCAAACAATTTCTATATTGTAAAAACAACAATACTTTTAATACAAACAACATGATTATTGAAAATTGAGAAGAGTATGTCCTGTTATCAAAAAAGGAATTTATGTTATGTGTATAAGGCAAGAACATATAGCGACTGGGTGTATTCTCTTTATGACCGTTACAGGTGGTCAGTGTAGTTCAGCGATTCTGAAAGTGGAGCGCACGCCCCACAGGGGGGCAATTTGAAAATGCTACAATAAGAAATACTTTTCATTTGGGTGTGAAATTGTGGTAAATTTAAGTTTTACATTATATTATTATACCTTTTCAACACCAAATTTATTTTTTATATTAAGGGGCATCAAATTTTTTGAGGTGTTGAGGTGGGGAATGGAGCAAAAAAAAAGTAAGAACCACTGGTCTAGTCTATACAATAACATGTCCTTAAAAACACCCCCTATCGGAGAACAAATTTATTGAAAATAAATATATATATATATGTGTTATACAGCGTAAGTTTTGAGTTTAAGATGGTTGAATTCTTCTTGCCACGTTTAAAGTTTTAAGGATAAATAAAAATTGGATTTTATAAATAACGAATAGTTTGGAGGCAAAAAAAAGAAGCTTTTAAAAGATTAAGTTTGGTCAAAGTAACTTCTGAGTGACTATTATTTGTTTTAGTTGGTTTTAGTTTTCTTTTACAGGTTGAACTGTGTCAAAAAATTGTTTTTCCAATATAAAAGATAAACACATAATGTAGTTAAGACGTTATACTCGCAACTAGCGACTCACGGGAACATGTTCATCCTTTCAGCTATGAGAGAGTTATAATGTTCCAGTAAATCCCGCTATTCTTTAGTAAAGAGTAGCCTAAGTGTTGGGGGTTGGTTTTGCTGGCCTTTTACCTCAGCAAAAGAGGTAGCATTAGTAGCTTTGTCATAGATACACAAACACACATATAATAACACTTTCTTATAAGGATAAACTGTACTATAGTATGTACTATAAGCAATCAAATGATAGTATCCTTAGAAATGTTTTGAACAGCGATATTACTCTACGGTCAAACAAATGTACAAATTTCAGAAAGTATGAATTCCCGGAAGGTCATTTTTATTTTTATTGATGAAACGTGCTTTGAGAAGCAAGACATAGTGTAAAAGAAAACAGTTAACTTTGGTTAACTTTTATTCTTAAACACACATTTTTACATCATATTTCCGGATCAATATTTACACATTCCTTTTAGGAAGAAAATGACTAGAATGGCAGAAGGGTCTGTTTGTCTGGAAGATTTTATATTGCGTGATATTCATCTTAGGATAAACATCTTTCGTTCGTTTGTTTGTTGTTAAGCACAGAGCTACACAATGGGCTATCTGTGCTCTGTCAGTCGTATCGAAACCCAATTTTTAGTGTTATAAGCTCTCAGTCTAACTGCTGAGCCACTGGGGAGCGGATAAATATTTACAGCAAATTATTTTCACGAACTATGTCTGAGTGCTAACCTTGAAGTGGGAGTGATTAGTTGATTTAATATTCAGTTTTTATGATATACTTTGTAAGGCAAGTTTTACTTGCAGCACTCAGAGTTAGCTATGACTAAAATTTCATGCTGCTTCTTATAGTACAAAGTTAGAGAAATAAAAGTTGTAATTATTCGACTTCTTAGTTCTTCTTCTTTTAGTTGATACGAACAGAATTTTTTGATTTCAAAGATTCAAGTGACTACATTAGAGGATACTAATCATTCTTAATTATTCTGATCCACAAAGTAAAAACAAACAAACAAACGTGTATTTCATTAAGAACTACTATTCCATACGACATTATATATTTTTTCTTTTCTTTTTGTCCCCATTTTAGTAAATAAAAGCCAACCTATCAAATGACAACGTTAAACACAAAGCCTGACCTTTTCGACCCCAAAACTCGGCAGTAAGTGTACTGATAAGAAAAAGAGAAACCACGTTTAAGTTCTTTAAGATGCGTATCTTTATTCTTCCATCATTTACGATATTCATACTAGAACTGAAACAAGCACATGTACAACAAAAATACAGCTCGGTTTATTTGTATTAACTACACGCGATCTTCCAGTTCTCGCAATAGGACCAAAAGGTGTAGCAACGTTAAATGTGTGATTATAACACGCGAAAAGATATTAGTTTTGAATGTAGTTGATACAGAACATACATACAGAGATAAATATATTCGTTTTGATGTTGTTATTTTTCCGTACTTGAAATTACATTAGAATGATTTTCTAAGATTTAAACCTTTTTTTTTATCGAACTGGTCTGAAGTCATACTACATGTACTCCTACTTTACCGACAATGTATTTCTGGGGCTTGGATGACGTATGCATTACAAGGTCACGAGACTGGACAGTGGATTCCTTCCCGGCATGAACCTGATTGCCTTTGGTTGTTTTAGCAGAAGGACACAGAACGTTGCATGTTCCAACTGCTTCATGAGACGAATCTTTCCTTTGCAGACCACCACTATTCATGAACAGTTTATTGTATTCCTATAGACAATAGGAAAAAAAGGGCTATAGGAAACTTTTTTTCAAATTTGTTTAAACGTTTCGATTCAGAGAACATCGTTTGAAAAGAACACTCAACAAAACGCCGAGGAAGTTTTGATAGCAAACGTACACATTAATGATGTTTGAGTTGTCCTTTATCTATCACAAAAAATTTAATATATATACATGTCATCAATGTTGCTAACCTATAATTTTAACTCCTTAGCACAAACATGTCATCAATGCTGCTAACATAATTTTAACTCCTTAGCACACACACATGCCATCAATGTTGCTAATATATATTTTTAACTCCTTAGCACAAACATGTCATCAATGCTGCTAACATAATTTTAACTCCTTAGCACACACACACATGTCACCAATGCTACTAATATATATTCTTAACTCCTTAGCACACACACATGTCATCAACGCTGCTGATATATATTTTTAACTACTTAGCACACAAGCTATACAAAGTAAAGGGTTTTTTTTCTAAACACTATTTTTTATCCTTTTTCTCCGAAATTATAATTTTAGTTTGAAGGGAAACACTTTATGTTAAACAAAATATTTTCAGGAATAAAAAAAAAAGATTTATGCTATATATTATTGAAGTACATAGATAAATATAAGTTATTTGTGGTAAATGAAAGAGGATCCAAACACATACATAAAGCTACCCAGATCACCACTACACAAGATCCAATCTTATTCCTTGATTAATCCTTGTGCACGGTTACTGATACAGGCGTATAAGGCGTTTATTCTTGAAAACATAATATATGTTGTGAGGTCAAATTCTATTATTTTTTTATGGTTATGGTTGTGTTTATTGTTGATATATTATTTTCTTTTATCGTTTAGTTTATCCACGTATTCTTTTAGTTGCATTAAAACGCTAACTCACCTTCTAGCTAGTCATTGGTAGTTTGAGTAAATATGTATGTATGATGAAACTGACACCAGCTTCCCTAGCGGCGACGTAAATATACTATTAATGTAGCAGAAGATTATATAAATTTATGATCACATGAGGTGTACTCTCATGACCTACTCAGTGAATAAATAACCTGCCAGAGAGTCACGAGATAATTTGTGAACAATGCAGTTAGTGAATTATTGTTGTTTATCACTCGATATTTCATTAATATTAAAAACAATTTTTGTGTTGCTGTATTTTTTATTTTTTTGGAATTAGGTTTTTCATTTCTGGTTCGTTTTCTTGATTCCATTATTTGAAATAATATTGATATTTATGATATATTGTTCATTAACATTAGTGTCAAGTCCTGGCCAAGCATATGTTTATTAACTGCGTTTTGGTAAGCGTTGAGTTTATTTATAAGTGTTGTTATAGTTGAATAAATTGCTTCTTTTGTTGTTGAACCATGATTGTAGTGGCGTGTTTATTTTAAATCGTTACAACGTCATAGTTGAACGATAGCTAAGCATAATGTTAGATTAACTTAGAAACACGGAGTTTACAGTTACTTGGCTATATTCCTATAAGGACGATGTTATAGAATTTTTCGTTATTTTGAATGAAACAAATCTATCAATTTCATTTGAGAATTAAAAAAACAAATTATAACTAGCTTTTCAACAATGTTGTTGGGGTTTGTGACATAATAAACCTTATGGATATCGTAAAATAAGACAGTGTTATATTTGATTGTAAAAATGTTAGCTCTGATGTTTTTATCATAACTTCCTACTAAAATATCACATTGAAAACCCATTCTGTGAGACACGAGTTTGTTTTGAATTTCGCGCAAAGCTACACGAGAGTTATCTGCGCTAGCCGTCCTTAATTTAGCAGTGAAAGACTAGAGGGAAGGCAGCTAGTCATCACAACGCACCGCCAACCCTTGGGCTAATCTTTTACCAACGAAAAGTGGGATTGACCGTCACATTATAACGCCCCTACGGCTCAAAGGGCGAGCATGTTTGGTAGGACGGAAATTCGAACCCGCGACCATCAGATTGCGAGTCAAGTGCTCTAATCACATGGCCATGCCGGGCTCATTGATTCTCGGATTTGCTGTACAGAACGTTAGGCACTAAGCCATGCCTGGCAAAAAAAAATCGTCTTAATTCGCTTAATTCGCTCTTAATATATGTCCGGCAGTGGAACAGCGGTAATTCTGCAGACTTACAACGCTAGAAACAAGGTTTCAATACCCGTGGTGGGCAGAGTACGGATAGACCATTGTGTAGCTTTATGCTTAACTTTAAACAAACAAATAAACTCTTAATATATATAAATTGGTGTGTTATAACAAAAAAAAAGTGAGAAAAGTAGGTATAAATGTTTTGTTCAGAATTATGATAATTCCGTATTTACACTTATTTAGGATATCTCTATAGTTTACTGAAGTATAATATTGCAACTTATAAATATAAGCCTCACCTTAAACTAGAAAGCAGGATGTTCACAGATGGAGTAATGACTTACTGAATTAATTACAACTTATAATAGAATATGTCTCACCCTAAAATAGAAAACAGGATTGTTTACAGATAGAATAATCACTTACTGAATTAATTACATTGTCACTGATTTGGTATAGATGAAAATCTAAAGTTAAGCAGTATTAATACATTCTTACTAAAACCGTATATTTATTTATCTACGTCATAAAAAGTGATTTTATTCAATCATTCATGAAGAGGTTAATGATAGGGAGTTTTTAATTTTAGTGATGTAGTGTTATTATAATCTAAGTGAATCATGTCACTTAAGTTGGTTGTAGGTTGTAATGTTCTGAAGTATATGCTTTTATTTAAGTTCTTGTTTTCTATACTGCTAACTTAGTGTATAGATTTAGGACGAACTTAAATCTTATTACATATTATTGGGATTATGGACGAGCACGTCGATAATACTCAGGGTACCCAACATTATAATCATGATCAGTTTGTTTCCTTGTGAATTGTTTTATAATGATACATATTAATAACTACTTGGATATATGAAACTAGCTGCATTATTCCTCAAGTTGTTCTTTAGTTCTGATCCAAGTATTTTATGAGATATTATTGGGATTATGGCCGAGCGTCGATAATACTCAGGATACCCAACATTATAATCATGAGTTTGTTTCCTTGTGAATTGTTTTATTATGATACATACTAAAAACTACTTGGATATTTGAAACTAGCTGCATTATTCCTCAGTTTTGTTTAGTTCTGGTCCAACTAATTAGCTTTCTTTAGTCAAGAGGTATTCATAGCTTATAATTAATAGCATATTACTATAATAACCTATGTTTATATGTAGTGTAAACATTATTAACGGTAGTTTAAATGTATCAAATTTGAGGATCGTTTCACAATATAACTTGCCCACGCTTAGCTTAAAATCAAGGATTTTAAAATTGTTATAAAGAGAAGCATACGGATATTAACGTAGTTACCTATTTCTAGTTTATAATAATTAACTTACTCGTTTCGGTGCTTCACAATTTCCCATACTTGATAATCCAGGGTTTTTTAGAATATCCGGACAGTCCTTGTCAGTTTCACGGGAACCTCTATTTTCTTGATTATGGCATTCATAAAATATAAAAAACAAACCAAGTATGTGCTATTTTTATTGCATTGTAACGTTATTTCACAAATTAACAAAATTATTCATAGATAATTATTTGGTTTTGCCATATCTATATCAAAACGATGTAAATATTCAAGTGAAAAGTTATGTAACTGTTATTACTGAGTAGAGAAAACTAAATTTAATTGTTATTACTGAGTACTACTCAGTAATAATAATTAGCTTTAGTTTTCTCTACTCAGTAATAACAGTTAAATTTAGTTTTCTCAGTTAAATTTAGTTTTCTCTACTCAGTAATAACAATTAAAATTAGTTTTCTCTACTCAGTAATAACAATTAAATTTAGTTTTCTCTACTCAGTAATAACAGTTAAATTTAATTTTCTCTACTCAGTAATAACAATTGAATTTAGTTTTTTCAGTTAATATTAGTTTTTCTCTACCCAGTAATAACAATTAGCGTTAGTTTTCTCTACTCAGTGATAACAGTAAACATTAGTTTTTCTCTACTCGGTAATAACGATTAGCTTTAGTTTTCCTTTACTCAGTAATAATAGTTAGTATTAGTTTTTCTCTACTCAGTAATAATAGTTAGTATTAGTTTTTCTCTACTCAGTAATAACAGTTAGCGTTAGTTTTTCTCTACTCGGTAATAACAGTTAGCGTTAGTTTTTCTCTACTCGGAAATAACAATTAGCTTTAGTTTTCTCTACTCAGTAATAACAATTAAATTTAGTTTTCTCTACTCAGTAATAACATTAGTTTTTCTCTACTCAGTAATAAGGCTAATTGCTTTCTATATAAGTCATAGGAATCAAGCAACTTGAAGATGGTAAATTAATAAGGTGGTAACCGGCTGTACTGACGTTTCATAAAAACGGTTGTTGAACTTTCTATGCTCCAGTTTATTATTATATGGTCTCTAGTAGAAATTGGTTGTATTGACGTCTCGTAAGAAAAGTTTTTAAAGTTTCTATGTTACAGTTTATTATTTACAGCAAAAGTACCCGTCCCCAGTGACGGGAAGGTTTAAATTAATCTATCAATTTAAATTATTTCATGGACTTTAAAAAAGTTTGACTGTGTTGCACTTTTGGTTTCACTCAGAGCCAAAACCCTGAGCCACTTATACCACCCACCGCGAAAAGTAATTGTTGAGCATTTCAGTCATGATAAGAGCCTCTCAACAATAATATACGGTAAATCTACATGTTTATTCTTTAAATTACGTCACATTTTGAAATGTGAATGATGGCGTAGAGTATCCTGCTTGCCAAATAAAATTTGGCATCAACATTATTCATGACTGTTCTCCCGCCATTTCAAAAGTGAATGTTGAGCTTTTTCTGTGTGCGCAGCTTTTCAAATACAGCGCGGGAAGCAGCATCGTAAATAGGAGACAGTCGAACGCTCAGACAGACAACACGGTTTGCAATATATATATATATATATATATATATATATATATTGCATGACCACCCCAAA